TTTTGCGCATATAGATACTATTGTGCTCATGTAGATGCTGCTGTGCTCATATAGCTGCTATTTTGCGCATATAGATACTATTGTACCCATGTAGATGCTGCTGTGCTCATGTATCTGCTATTTTGAACATATAGATACTATTGTACCCATGTAGATGCTGCTGTGCTCATATAGCTGCTATTTTGCGCATATAGATACTATTGTACCCATGCAGATGCTGCTGTGCCCATATAGCTGCTATTTTCACACATAGATACTATTGTACCCATGTAGATGCTGCTGTGCTCATATAACTGCTATTTTGCACATATAGATACTATTGTACCCATGTAGATGCTGCTGTGCTCATATAGCTGCTATTTTGCGCATATAGATACTATTGTGCTCATGTAGATGCTGCTGTGCCCATATAGCTGCTATTTTGCGCATATAGATACTATTGTGCTCATGTAGATGCTGCTGTGCTCATATAGCTGCTATTGTACAATAGCTCTATATGGGCACAATAGCATCTATATGGGCAAAATAGCATAAAGATGTTTTTTTACTACTTTTTGTACCACCAGCCCTCCCTCTTAGATTGTAAGCTCCAAGGAGCAGGACCCTCCTAACCCTCTGGTATTGAACTGTATTGTTGCTGTATTGTCTCCCTTTATATTGTAAAGTGCTGAGCAAACTGTTGGCGCTACATAAATCCTGTATAATAACGTTTAATAATTAGAACTAGAAAAGCTACAATTTCTGGGGAAATTGTGTGAAGAGTTCTTGCCTCCACCAGTATTCTACAACTCACACTCTAGCTTTTGTCACTCTGCTGCCTGCTCACACACCTGGGTTCCTATGGCAACTCACTTCTACTGTAAGGGCAGAGAAGAGTGGTTAAAAACAAACTGCTCCAACTTGCTCACTTCACTGGCGGTTGCCATCTTCAAACGGTTGTAGTGTAAAAATTATAAATTCTACAGTGAAGATCTTTATATTGTGCAAATCACAAGACCCAGACCTACATTTTGATGCATAGTATGTCTCTGAAATATTAAAAATGAAGGCACAGTCACAGTTTAGAAATTGCCATTCAAATTTGAGGTGGCTAGAGTGGAGTTTCAATGAATGTCAATGGGTGGTGTGTGTTGCAAACAAATGGTCATATTGTAAAAACTATCAGGACTATGGCTTAGCCGTGGACAATTTTAGTGGCAGCAGGGATAGCTGAACGTTTTGATATAAGATTTGTGTAGGTGGGCTTGAAGATGAGGGAGTGATGGCAGTTTAGAAATCATATCCTGATTTTGCAGCTCACACTCTAGCTTTTGTCAACTCCCACTCTAGTTTTGAACATTCCGCCATTCATTCCTATGGGACCAATTTCACCACAAAAACGCTGATATTTCGTGAACCATTCGGCGAAACATTCCACAAAGTAATAGCACACCAATCGGGAACAATCCGCACGTTTCGGTATATTACTGTCTATGTAGTGTAAAAACTGTGGGAGGAGTTAGGGTGGTAAATTTGGCTATAATAATAAGAATATATATGTGTGAGATAACAATAAGTGGTCCTGCCATGCAAGAACACTTAATAAAGATGTTATTTTACCCATACAACTGCTATTGTGCCTATAAAAATGCTATAGTGTCCAGTGTGCAGTGAACTTATGCCCAGTGACACTGACCTTGCAGCACTGCTACATGCTGTAGATCCCATAGCTACAAGAAATAAAAGGAGTGCTGTCGGTATCTCTCCACCTGACATTCCTGCCGGAACTTTAGACGAGACATCAGCCTATGCGGCTGGCTGATACCTCCGCAAAACTGCTGCCTCTGTGGCACTGCTCCTTCCATGGCTGGCACTACATGCCTGGATGCAGTTCCTCTGCTTCCCTGTCACCTTCATCCATGGTATGTGACAACAGGTCGCAAAGCCCAGGCGATCTACCAATCATCTGGCCATGATCGACTGATGTATCACGGTCCAAAGGTGGTCGACCCAGGCTCTAGAAGCTGGAAATCACTGTAGTAGATGTTGCTACTTCAGAAATCACCACTAGCTTCCAGTTCCTGTGTTGAGCAGCTGCCCTGCTACATTCTGAATGCCTTTTCTCAATGGATACAAACAGTTCTCTGACTGATTGCAGCGTGGTATTGCAGCATTATAGGGTTAAACCTGTCAAATGTCCTCTAAAAAGTGATCCAAATGCAAATCACTCTTCAAAGGGCACTTTACTCCACTGTAAGTGTTAAAGAGCTCTATGTGTTATCAATATCAAAGTTAATAAAGGGGAGCTAAAGTCTCCTGCTTAAAAATGCAATAAATACATCCCCGTGAATCATGGGCCATGATCTTTACAAAACACTTTTTTAAATATGGATATGGTCAGTATTTTAATTGATGTGGTTACTTGCCAAATGTTTGGATTACTGGCCCTTGATGAAATGCTGGCGGTGGCCATCTTTGGTGTGGGAATCTGAAGCTGGCGCCAGTGAATTCCGGGATGTAGTGCAGCTGGTTTACCCAGCATGCACCTCCTGATATTGCGCATGCGCACTAGTGACAGTGCCCGATGCACAGGCTGGACTTCCAGAAAGACTCCTGGGATAGATGATGCTGATATCCCAGGAATCCAAGGGTATTCCCTAATGACATAAGCACTTAGGTGGCCAGGACAGGATGTGCCAGCAAACTGCATTAAAAAAAGGTATTTATGAATAATAAAAAAAAAATGACAATATCTATTTAGCACTGTTTAGGTGGGCATTATAAGAAGCTGAAAAAATGGGTGATGCTTCACTTTAAGTTACCATCTATTTCCTTGGAACTACGAAGGAAAACAGTCATTTCAAAGGTCATATCTGACCTATGACATATACAGTACATTCACATGGAATTACAATTATGTTACCTATAGCCTACAGCAGGGGTGCTCAACTTTCTGAAAAGCAAAGGCCATTTAAAGCAGAGTTCCACCCAAAAAGGGGAAGCTCTGATTGTTTGCCCCCTCCACTGCCACATTTGGCACTTTTTGGGGGGAGGGCGTACCTGAATTTGACAGGTACCTGCTCCCACTTCCGGCTCAGTTCTCAGTGGCAAACTGAGCCAAAAGTCCGGCCCCCTCCTTCCCCTCCACAGTCTTCTGGGACACTTCACAGGTCCCAGAAGACTAAGGCGCAATCACAAGGTGCAGCATGCCTCATGCATGCGTAGTAGGAAACTGGCTGTGAAGCCGTGAGGAGAGCAGAGACTTTCTTTGTTCCTGACTTTGGTTATTTTAAAGTATTGTTGAAGCATTGACCTTCCAACAATCTGCTACTGAGAAAAAGGGAAAGTGGAAAAGCAACACAATATCACCTATGAGACGTAAAGGATACTTACTGTATAGGTGGTCTGTGACATTTGGCTACTGCAGTATATTAGAACCAGCTAAACACCAGGGATCATACTTACAGTAACATGTATAAATGATCTCCAGCTGGTTCTTGGATAAGACCTTTATCTTTATAATGGACAACGTAACTGTAAAATGAATTAAAATAATGAAAGAAAAATACGAAAAGTAATATTTCAAAATCTAAAAGCAGAAACATATGCTGGAAAAGTGTAAATAGTTTGATTCTAAAGTAATGAATGTATGTTGCCGTTTTCATTTCAACAGACACTACATCATTCATCATCTCTTTCCAGCAGGGATTTTCAACTCGCCATTATTCGGTGACAATGATTCATTTAAATGCACAGCCTCTTACTCCGCATTCATTATAAAATACTCTCTCAAGCTGCCACATGCCCTCATCTGGTGAAACCCACAGGCAGATTACTAGACCAAAATAGTGCCCGAATAATGAGCCGAGGCTCAAACACTAGCGACAAAGAAGTACAAATAAGCCAATTAGTTTACATTGTACAGCTTTGCACGTACAGCTTCTAGGAAAACACGTGGTACATTTATTATCACTTAAATTTGGTACAAAAATAGAGAGCTACTTATTGGCTTATACCTTTATTTAATAACCTGGTCAAAAAGATAAACGTGCATGTGTGTGTGTGTGTAATATATATATATATATACACAATATTGCCAAAATTGCCAAAAGTATTGGGACGCCTGCCTTTACATGCACATGAACTTTAATGACATCCCAGTCTTAGTCCGTAGGGTTCAATATTGAGTTGTCCCATCCTTTGCAGCTATAACAGCTTCAACTCTTCTGGGAAGGCTGTCCACAAGGTTTAGGAGGGTGTCTATGGGAATGTTTGAGCATTCTTCCAGAAGTGCATTTGTGAGGTCAGGCACTGATGTCGGACAAAAAGGTCTGGCTTGCAGTCTCCGCTCTAATTCACCCTTCTATCGGTTTAAGGTCAGGAACAGTTAAGTTCCTCCACCCAAACTCGCTCAGCCATGTCTTTATGGACCTTTCTTTCTGCACTGGTGGGCAGTCATGTTGGAACAGGAAGAGGCCATCCCCAAACTGTTCCCACAAAGTTGGAAGTATGAAATTGTCCAAAATGTCTTGGTATGCTGACACCTTAAGAGTTCCCTTCACTGGAACTAAGGGGCCAACCCCAACCCCTGAAGAACAACCCCATAGTATATTTCCACCTCCACCAAATTTTACACTTGGCATAATGCAGTCAGGCAAGTACCGTTCTCCTGCCAACAGCAAAATCCAGACACGTCCATAGGATTGCCAGACAGAGAAGCGTGATTCGTCACTCCAGAGAATACATCTCCACTGCTTTAGAGTCCACTGGCGGCGTGCTTTTAGCCACTGCATCTGTTGCTTTGCATTGCACTTGGTGATGTAAGGCTTTGATGCAGCTACTTAGCCATGGTAACCCATTTCTTGAAGCTCTCTACGCACTGTTGTTGTGCTAATATGAAGACCACATGAAGTTTGGAGGTCTTTAGCTATTGACTCTGCAGACAGTTGGCTACTTCTGCACTCTGTGCGCTTCAGCATGCGCTGACCCTGCTCTGTCATTTTACGTGGTCTACCACTTGGTGGCTTAGTTGCTGTTGTCCCCAGTTGCTTCCTCTTTGTTATAATGCCACTTACAGTTGACCGTGGAATATTTAGTAGCAAGGAAAGGACTTATTGCACAGGTGGCAACCTATCACGGTACCACGCTTGAATTCACTGAGCTCCTGAGAGCGAACCATTCTTTCAAAAATGTTTGTAGAAGCAGTCTGCATGCCTAGGTGCTTGATTTTATACACCTGTGGCCATTGAGGTGATTGGAACGCCTGAATCCAATGATTTGGTGGGGTGTCCCAATACTTTTGGCAATATAGTGTATATAGTATTGTGTATAGTATACAGGGGTTGGAAAAAAATATGCAAACACTACATGATTTGCAAGTGTGATAGTAACAACATGTTTTGCGTTGAAAGAAGTGATGTAACACTCTTTTGCTCCCGCTGTGTGATGAGACACTTTGCTAATAGATGGGAAGTGTCACTTTCGTCATTCACTCCTTGCACTGCTAGTAATATGGAGTTGTGTCAGAGTGTTGATCTGCATTTTAGCGCAGCTGTAAAATTCAGATCAATGTAAGGACATCTGAAAAACAATAATTTCCAGTGTGTCATATTCACACCATAACACAGTGTTCACCTGCATTGCACTAAAATGAAACAAGTATGCATTTTAGCACAACGCAACGGATGTCAAAATAATGCAGACGATATCCTGTGAAAATGCGGTACGCTTTAACGCACACTAAAATGTATGTCAACGGACATAAAAAGTGTATGCCAATGGACATCAAAATGTATTTCAACGGACGTCAGCTCGCAACTAGAGCAAGTCAGTGTGCATTGGCCCTGACTGAAGTTATTACTTATTTGTGGTGTTGCTAGGTACAGTATTAAAGGTGATTATGGCATATACAGTTTCCAGGAAAACGTCTCATGGTCAACTGACCGAAGTAGAAAAGAAGATAATGGTTGCACACCGCAGACATGATGAGAATAAAATTCTTTATTCTCCCAATAATAGGACAAACAGCACAAAGGACTGACAAGCTGTTAACGCGTTTCTCACAATTAGGTGCTTAGTCATAACAAAACTGACTGAAACATGACCAAAAGAGACAAAAGGACATTGCGTAGGATTGTGACCTGGAATAAGAAAACAAGTGCTGTAAAAGTGACTGCAGAGCTCAATATCAGTCTTCCAAAGCCCGTGTCCACAGAAACTGTGCGGAGGGATTTCCATAAGCAAAACATTCACCTGCAAGTGCCAAACCACTAGTGACTGATATTAATGCTCAGAAGAGGAGTGTTTCCACACTCATAAATCATAGACTATCGATCAATGGAAAACTGTAATATGGTCCAATAAATCGAGCTTCACACTGTTCCAAACCACCAGACGTGTTTATGTGTGGTGGAAACCATCCCAAGCATACAACCAGGACTGTCTTGTGCCAATGGTAAAGCATTGAGACTCCCCCCCCCCCCCCCCCCCCCCCCCGCGCAATAATGGTTTGGGCAGCCATATATTTGTATTCTGCGGGTCCCATCATCCTCTTCAAAATTAGAGTAACTGCCAGCGACTATGTACAAATTTTGGCCGACCATGTGCACCTCATGGTGCAGACATTGTTTCCCAAAGACAGTGTCATTTACGAAGTCGATATTGCTCCAATTCACACAGCTGGTGGTGTCAAATTGTGGTTTGATGCGCATGCAGACAAAGTCTTGCACCTTCCTTGGTCAATGGTCAGTTTTTGAGAACAAGCTTTGGGCTTCTTTTTTTCTGCTTCTGGCAGCTCTGCAAAACTGGAAAGATTTTTTTTATGAAGAATGGTGTCACATTTCATTATCCATCATCCAAGACTTATATTTTTCAAGTCCCAGGAGAATTCAGGCCCTCTTTGATGCCAAAGGCAGATCAATACCACATTAGTTAATGAATTTTGTTCTTTTTACTTGTGTTTCCATAATTTTTTCCAACCCCCTCTATATAGGTATGTATTGTGTATAGTATATATGTATTTGGGTTATGCTGTATAGTAACAGATATATATATCTTTTCAATGTTAGGAATATTTTCTCTTAGACAGTTGTCCCCAGAACAAGTATCCCCATTGGAAGATTTCCCCTGTGGCAACTCAAAATGTTGGATTTACCCTCACCTTCATTCCCACAACGTTGGTGACCAGGACAGGAGAGGGTGCATTTCCCTAACAAGGGTACAGACAGCCACATATCCTGACAGTGGCACTAACCTCTCTCCACTCTATCCAATACTTAATTATATTTTAAAACATATCTAAATCCAGGAACAAAAATCTAAGATATTGTAGCTTACCAGTCCTTAAATGCATTGGCTGCATCCTTTTTTTTGTTCAGTTTTTTCCCCTTTGTTCTAACCTAAGGATGCAATACAGGCAGAAAATGGAGGAAATTGCAGCACCACTGGTGCCAGTGTCAGAATACCACAGCTACGGTAGGAGATTCATCTGTCCGTGATGTATAACATGGATGGAGAAATTTGTTAGATCATTTGCAGGCTAAATTAAAAAAATCTAATAGTGTATGTGGCCAGCTTTAATCTGTGTGCAGGAAGTTTCTGTACCAGGCTTGGTCATTAGATTGGGTTGGCATACTGATTCCCTTCAGAGCTGTGTATGCATGCAGCTAAAGGTTCTCTGCATTTGTGTGGGCTTCCTCCAGAAACATTGGCTCTTGTGCTGGTCCCACTGATTTCAGATCTAATGTTCTAAGTGAATGTTCACCAATCAATGTGAGTTATTTGCATGAATAGATATTTGAAACAAAGTTGTACCACAAAATAATTAAAAATAGTAAAAAGGTTAGAAAAGTTATTGAGAGTCTAAGCGCACTGTAGCACATCTTACAATTGTGTTATCTGCTAAATATACACACAATTAGAACGCTTTGAGGTCCATGACTAGCAAAGAAAAGTGGTCACTTAGATTAAGCACCCCAGCACCTGATCAGCCATCATTGGTCTGAGGCTCTTCAAAGAAATAAGCAGATTTGTCTTCATATTGTCCCCATATTGCTGTTGGAAGCCCTATGGAGGTTTGTTTATTGAGTGACACATGTATCACTGATGTTAAAGAAAAGGATGACTACTGTAACTCTCCTTTTGGACCCTCATTATTAAAGTGGTTGTAAACCTTGGGCATGAAATATGAACAAAGCATATCCCTCTACAGTGTGTACTTGTCTCAGTCCAGAGTGTGATTTCTGTCTGCTGCCCCTATTCTTCTGCTATCTGCATGAGTCATTTCCTGACACCAAGAGGTAAAAAGGTGACAAGGGAGAAACCTTCAGCACATAGTATGTGATTGACAGCCTCAGTTCTGTTCCTGTGAGCTGTGTGAAGGGCTGTGTGTCCTTTCCCTCCAATCAGTTCTCAGGGATATCCTCACTGAGAACTACAGAGTGTAACTTGAGCTCACTGCCCCCTGCTTTCTGAAGGCTCAGACAAGCTGTATAAATTGTGGACAAGCTGTAGAGAGGAAAATATGGCAGAGAAACAGGTACAACTAATGTAGGAGGATTTGTTTAATCTCTGGGTATCACATAAAGCCAGTCACTTCACTGGCTATATGTAAGTGTTTACAACCACGTTAACCCGTTTGCTGCCAGGTGCGTACATCATACATGTCACGTCTTCCGGAGTGGAGATGAAAACGTCTGCCAGTGTTCATCTCCATTACATAGTGGATTGAGGAGATTAGTAGTATACAAAAGAATAGACTGATAATGGGCAGCACTGTGGCTGAGTAGTTAGCACTTCTGCTTGGCAGCGCTAGGGTTGTTGGTTCAAATCTCAACCACAGCACTACCTGCCTGGAGTTTACATGTTTTCCCTGTGCCTGCGTGGGTTTCCTCCGGGTACTCTGGTTTCCTCCCACACTCCCAAGACATGCTGGTAGGTGAATTGGCTCCTGTCTAAATTGGCCCCAGTATGTGTATGTATCAATATGAGTTAGGGAACCTGAGACTGTACACCCCTTGAGAGTTAGGGATTGATATGAATGTACAATATATGTAAAGTGCTGTGTAAATGGATGGCGCTATATAAGTACCTGAAATAAATAAGATTGTTTATGCTGTCTTCAGTTCACAGGTGTCAAGGACACTGCATTGCTACCAAGGTATTTTTTGTGTACTTATACTTACTCTACAGGCACTTTCTGAACTTGCTCAAAATGTCCTTAGTCTGAAAAAAGCTGCAATAAATTCCATTTTTAATGTACAGCGTTGGGCGAACTGTTGGCGCTTTATAAATACTGTATAATAATAATAATAATTATAGATACACTTTAAAGCAAGATTGGGGGATTTTGTAAGGTTTCAGAGGAGAAAATAAATGGAGACATTAAGATTGATGTATTAAAGACAAATAGACTGTTCGCTTTGCATTAGAATTTTACCCAGAGCTGAGTGAATGAGGTGAATCTCTGCTGACTTCCATCATCTAATCATGCATGGGTATAGGATGGCAGACGGAATAAACCTCCAGACACAAAACTACATAACAACCATCTTGGCTGAATAATGGCCATGGCTTTGTTTATTGGTTTCACAGCTTTAACAAATCATAAATATAACTTTTATCTTAAAAACCATAAACATTTTAAATTACATAACCACATCAGCCCAGCCATTATGGCTCGAGCTGTAATTTCATTTAAACTATTTTTTAATTAATCGTTTTTTTTACCAGTCCCCTTTCATAGTTATTTAGAAAAGGACCAACCACATAAACTGGCCGCGACTAGGGAGGGAGAGTGGGGCTCCTCAAATTTTTTTGGCCCAGAGCCCTCGACGTCTCTTCCTTTTATGGGGTTCTTGGGGCTTCTAGAATGTCCTGGGGGGGTCAGATGACTTATTTTGACCAATCCTGATTGAGCCCCCCCAGAACTTCCAGAAACTTCCCAGTCAGCTGATCCATTTTGGCCAATCACATTTCCCCCATTCATTTTAAACCCTGAGGGAGACTAGAAACCTATCCTCCACCGTTCCATGAGGAAAAGGGGGGTGCCTGGAAACTTCCATGTTTTTACCCCCTTTTCTTTTCATTCTTTGCACAGTAATATTTTACTGCATTCCTCTGAAATTGCCCCTGCAACTTCCCTTGGAAATTTAGCAGCCTCTTTACCTTTAGTAAGTCAACCCCAAATTATGTCAACTCTATTATCAAGCTACACTGTGCACTCCCACCAAGTGATGGCTCCAAGCCCCACTTCTGAGGATGTATAATATTTTTTTTTCCAT